TTCCCCTTGCTCCTCATCCTCACCAGCATGTGATGTCACCTGAGTTTTTGATCTTGGCCATTCTTACTGGTGTAAGATGGACTCTCAGGGTTGTTTTGATTTGCATTTCCCTGATGACTAAGGATGTTGAACATTTCTTTAAGAGAGGACTGCCAAGAAAAACTGGTGTAGTGGTTTTTAATCACTCAACACACAAAGGCACCAAAATATGTGGGGAAGTGTTTCAGGGAGTTCCCTCAGGCCTAGGGAAAACGCCGATTATACCTTTACTCCTTTCTTATTTATTCATTTAATATTTAATATTTATTTATTTGTTTAGCTAGTTACTTTTTGAGACAGGGTTTCTCCGTGTAGCCCTCACTGTCCTGGAACTTGCTTTGTAGACCAGACTCCTTGAACTCAGAGAGATCTGCCTGCCTCTGACTCCCCAGTGCTGAGATTAAAGGCGTGCACCACCACTGCCTGACTTATTTAAAAAAAAAATTTTTTTAATTAGATTTTTGTTTTGTTTTGAGACAGGTTATCATGTAGCCCAAGCTACCCTGGAATTCTCTATGTAGTCCATGCTGACCTGAACTCCTGATGTTCCTGCCTCCACTTCTGGAGTGCTGACATCACAGCTGTACATCAGCAAACTTGAAAGATTCCCAAGCTTCTTCTAGGAGTGGGAAACTGAGGCACAGTAGCTGCTGTGGGCCTGTGGTTAAGAGGTTAGGGACCAGGATGGGACCAGCGATGAGCTCCAGGATCAGGACGCCAAGGGAGGCCCACAGAGCACCGCCCCTGGGGTAGCCGGGCTCCCCACCCACCGCCTCCTCAGCCTCCGTGCCTGCGCTCGGACTTCAGAGCTCGCAGGGATTCTATAAATGGCCAAGCGGCGGCGGACCCGGGAGCCCCGCGAGTGAGTCAGCGCTGACGTAGCCGCTCGCTCGGCGCAGTGCCCTGGCCACCAGGGGGTACCAGACCTCGCTGTAGCAATCGCAGCTCTCTCGGTGGAGGAAGCTTTTGGTTATGAATTAATTCAAATTCCACTCTACTTCCTTCAGGCTGTGTGACCTATACAACCGACTACACCTCTTTCTGTTCCCCCTGCAGGACCCTTCTTAGAGGGCTGTTGACAGGCACGGGTTACTGCTATCTTATTTGATCCTTAGCCCACTGGGTCTGTCTGTCTCTCTGTCTCTCTCGCTCTGTCTCTGTCTGTCTCTGTCCCTCCTTTCCCACTCCCTCTCTCCTTCTCTTCCTCCTGTCCAGAGTCTCACTGTGTAGTCCTGGCAGGCCTGTACTACACTATGTAGACCAGGCTGGCCTCAGACTCAGAGATCCAAAGGACTCTGTCTCCTGAGTGCTGAGATTACAGTTGTGTTCCCCCATGACCAACCATTTCTCTTTTATTTATTTTCTTGTTCTCTCTCTTTTTCATCTTACTAATTTTTTTTGAGATAGGATCTCTCTCAAAACTCAATATGTAAGTTAAATATGGCCTCATATCTCTGACCCCTGCGCTGCCGCCTCCCGCTGTGGCTCCGCTGTGCCTGGCTTGTGCCCGGCTGGGGATGGGACCCAAGTATTTTATTTTGAGACAGGTCTTTATGCATGAACGGCAAGCACTGTACCAACTAAACCGAATGTTTGGCACTTCATTTTATTTTGTTTGTTTGTTTGTTTGTTTCTGAGACGGATCTCAAGTCATGTAGCCCAGGTTGGGTCAGAATCACTTTGTAGTTGAGGAGGACCTTGAACTCTTGACCTCCCTGATTGATTGCAGGCATATATCACCAGATATCAAATAGCAACAAGCTGGGTAGCCACCCCTCCCTTCTCAGGGTTCACTGACAATGCCTGTACAATTTCTGTTTGTCAACTTATACAAGGTCTGTTGGTATACACCTGACACACTAGCACTCAGGAGGCCAGCCTGGGCTACATTGTGAAAACCTGTCTCCAAAAGAGGGGAGCAGGTGCTACTGGCATCTCATAAAGGCCTGGAATGCTGTTAAAGTCACAGTGTTCAGGATGGGATTACATGGCAAAGAATTATCCAGCTCCAAGCATCGAGGTGATGGCCAAGACACCGTGTTTGAATCTCACAGGATTAGGGACAGAGGCTGAGTTCAAATTCTGCTGTGACACTGACAAAACTATGTGACATTCCTACAGAAAGGGATTCCACACCCCTGCCTGTGCCTCCAGTCCTCTATCTGTAAAGTACCTATGATAGGGGGCTGGAGAGATGGCTCAGCAGTTAAGAACACTGGCTGCTCTTCCAGAGGTCCTGAGTTCAATTCCCAGCAACCACATGGTGGCTCACAACCATCTGTAATGGGATGTGGTGCCTCTTCTGGTGTGTCTGAAGAGAGCTACAGTGTACTCATCATATACATTAAACAAACAAACAAACATATTTAAAAGTGCCCTTGATAACAGCATCAGCTAAGGAGGCACGGTGATTATCCAGTGGGCTGTATGGTCACAGTTTGGACAAGGCTTGACAGAAAAGCTGTTGGCAAAGTCAGGTTAGGCAATACATGCCTGCAATCCCAGCTACATAGAAGGTGGAGGGAGGCAGATTCTAAGTTCAAGTCCAGCCTGAGAATTTAGTGAGACCTTGTCTCAAGCAAGGTTTTTTTTCTGTGTCTATGTCTCTGTGTTCAGTGACCTGAAAGGCTAGGCCAGGGCATTGGATACTTGAAGCTGGAGTTTCAGGAGGTTGTGAGCCACCTGATATGGGAGCCAGGAACTGAGTTCAAGTCCTCTGCAAGAACAGTGTGTGCTCTTAGCCACTGAGCCATCTCCCCAGCCCGAGAAGTTTTTGTATGTTTTTTGCTTCATAATTTATATGACATGAAAGCGGACATGGGACCATTTGGAAAGAGTAAGACAGTCAAATATAAAAAGGCAGAGCAGGGAGGGTAGTGGTGGGAGAATGTATGATAATGTGCCTGGGCGTGGTTGTCCATGACTGTCATTTCAGGGCTGGGCGTAGAGGAAGGAGAATCGGGAGTTCAAGATCATCCTTGGCTAGATTGCAAGTTCCATATCAGCCTGAGCCCTGTAAGACATTGTCTCACTCACTGCCAAGAAATGTTAGAATAAACCTTTGTATTCAACTCTGTGTGTGTGTGTGTTCACACATACCCCACCTTGCGTGTGGAGGTCAGAGAACAATTTTCAGATTTCTCCTTCCATCACGGGGGTCCCAGAAATCAAACCCAGGCCGTCAGGCTTGGTGGCAAGTCCCTTCACCTGCTAGGCCACCTCATCGGCCCTTCTGTTTCCTGTTCTGTTTGGCATCTGGAATCACCTTCCATCTGCGCTGTTCTCCGGCAGTGCTGGCAGTTATACTGGAAGATTTTCACATGCTGGGTAAGGGCTGTCACTGAGCCTTTACCACTGATATGTGTGCCCAACCCACATCAAAATAAAAATGTATTATTATTATTTATTATTGTTTTGAGGCAGGGTCTAACCATGCAATGTTGGCTGGTCTGGATCTCTCTGTGATCCACCTGCCACTGCCTCCTGGGTGCTGGGATTAATGGTGTGAACTTCCACTCCTTGCCAGATGTGTCCTTTATTTTTTTATTATTTTTTTAAAGATTTATTTATTTATTTTATTTATGAGTACACTATCGCTGTCTTCAGACACACCAGAAGAGGGCATCCAATCTCATTACCGATGGTTGTGAGCCACCATGTGGTTGCTGGGATTTGAACTCAGGACCTCTGGAAGAGCAGTCAGTGCTCTTAACCACTGAGCCATCTCTCCAGCCCCAGATGTGTCCTTTATATGTGGCCAGGAAATTGCAGGCTCATAAAGTATCATTAATGTGTAAAGATTGATGTCATCTACATGTCACTGTCCTGTCCTTGACATGATGTGTGTGAACATCCAACTCCACGGTCCAGATGAGAGCTGTCTAGCTCGGAATACTTACAGGTGTCCAACCGGACCAGCCTGATTTGGATAGAGATTGGGGAGTGTTCATGATGGCCCAAGACCTGTTAACCTGGGCCCCAGTGGCTCAGGTGGCCAGTGAATGGATTTGGGGAATAGATCCAGGGTATGTCTTTGTTTGTTTGGTTTTTTTTTTTCATTTCAAATAGTCCAGACTGGTCTTGAACTCAGTATGTAGCCAAGGATGACCTTATATTTCTGAACACCCTGCCTGTACCTCCTGGGTCCTGGGATTACAGACACGGATTACCAGGCTTGGATTTTGTGGTCCTGGGGATTGGCCAGGGTTCTGAGCATGCAAATCCTCTACTAATAGACCTATATAACTATGTCCTAGCCTCACATTTAAAAAAAATTTTTTCATTACATTTGTGGGGGGGGGTGTCGGTGGCGGGAAGGAGGGAGGGAGAGAGAGATTCACTCTCAAGCCCAGGTTCTTTGCTGCTCCAAGTCCTTGTGAGGGACCAGAGAGGACAGAACTGGGTACCAGATTCTTCAAAGGAAGAAAGCTTTGCTGAGGCTCTCCTTTGTGTTAATCTTTGTATTGGGTACCCTGGAAGTGACATTTCCCCCCTGACCTTTACTACACCGTTGTGAAGCAAGCTCTTTCATTAGCCCTTCTAGAGATATGGCAATAGAGACCCATCGAGGTGAAGGTTGTGTGTAGAGGGTTGGTGTGTGGAGGTCAGTCAGATCATCTTGCAACACTAGGGGTTTGGGGTGGGGGTGCAGCAGTCCTGCCTTGGGACTGAAGGAGTTCAATGACCTCTGAGATAAGGAGTCTCAGAGATGGGCCATAGACAGTTGGCATAGGGAGACTTGTGGAAGAGGGGTGGGCTGTATGAGCAACCCCATCTCAGAAGGAGGCATTCAGCCCCCTAGGTGGAAACAATGACACAGTCAGCTCCCAATACCAAGGCTCTGACATCAGGAGGTGGGGGTGGCCAGAGTATGTGTGGGGTGCCACGCCCCTTGGCAAGCCCCCGTGGCCAATGGGACAGGCTTGGAAGAGTCCAGGGCTGGCTTCTGGAGCTTCAAAAACGTGTGAAGAGGGAAGAGGGAGCAGACGGAGGCTTAGCTGCCTTTGCGCTGGTCCTCGGCACCTCCCTCCGCTTTGCCCGAGCCCCCTGGTCAGCATGTCGTCTGCACATTTTAACCGAGGTCCTGCCTACGGCCTGTCTGCTGAAGTAAAGAACAAGGTAAGGCTGGAAGGACTGACAGACACCCTGCCGGGACAGAGCCCTGTTCTCTGAACCCCCTCCTACCTGTGTCACGTGTCTCTAAGTCCTGAGAAGAGAAGGAAGATAACGGATAGGGGCTGTTTTTCTGTCCTTGCAACATCCCAGAGCCCTCAGTTACTTGAGGGGTGAAGTGAGGGGACCCCACAATCCAAAAATAGAAGTAATCGGAGTGCTGCAAAGATTCCCCACGTGGTCAGAGTCAATCTTCTTGTTCCTGGGAGGGATGTAGAGGGAAGGGACAGATTCCCTACCTTAAAAAAAAAAATCAGCTATGCCGGTCTATAGAGCTAAATGATACTGAGAGACAGCATCTTCCTGCTGGTGGGTAAACTGAGGCTTAGAAAGGAGAAACAAGAAACTAGGGCACCAGGTAAGGCAAGTGCAAAGCCAAACTGTCTCCACAACGGGATGGGCAAGCTTCTCGAGACTGGGAACTGCGCGGAGGGGGAGAGGCAGTCCCATTTGCCAGAAGGGAACACTGAGGCACTTTCTTTCCAGGATCCCACAGCAGGAGCCTCGGGGAGCGAGGAGCAGGGATTGGGACCTGGATCCGGTTGGGGTATCCTAAGGGCTGGAGTTCAGGGAGTGTGGGGGGCGGGTGCTCTGCCGGAGACTGATGGCAGCGCCGCCCCCTCCCCCCAGCGCCGGCCCCAGAGTCACAGAGGAGCCGCCGCGCCTTATAAGGCGGCCTTGGGCAGCCCGGGCCCGCGCTATATAAGGGCCGGTTTGCTTTATAAAGCCGGGCTGGTGAGGAGGGGGGCGACAGGGCTGGGGCCAGGTAAGGGCTGCATCCCTCCTCTCCCCATGCAGAAGAGAAGCATCCCTCCATCTCACCACCACCAGGGGCTGGGAGGCTAGCTTGCAGGAGGATTGCAGAAAGAACGCGAAGCAGCCCTGGAGACAGGAGACAGGAGACAGGAGACAGGAGAGAAAGCTAGGAGGGAGATACGAGCTAAGAGGTTGAGAAGGGAGTGTGCGGGATCCCACCCCTACTGGCAAGATGGGATCAAAGCGGAAGCTACAAAAAAAAAAAAGCTGTCTGGACAGGGGACAGACAGGTCTTCAGAGATGGGACACCCCCTCCCCCGACTGAATAAAAGATAATGTAGAGAATTGGGGAACAGAGAAGAGAACAGACCAAGTGGGGCTGAGGACAAACCTAACGAAACAGCAGGCAAGTCTTAGGAGGGGGACGAAAAGTTCTCATTTCTAACTAGAGATTGTGTGCATGATGACCTGGGACGACACTGAGCGAGGTTTCCCAGGGGGCTTCTTCTTAGGGCTCCTCCCCACCCCCAGTTTAAGGCATTTCCCCTTCCAACAGGAGAGTGGGGAGGGCTGCGTCAGGGAAAGCTAAGCCCCAAGTTTGGCTTGAAGGGGAAACCAAGCGGCCAAGCGCCGCCCCGCCCCCTACCCCCCACCCCCACCCCCAACTTCAAGGATCTGGCTTTCCAGTCCCCTCTTGTCTATTCATTGGTGCCAAACCTCAGAATGCCCGGAATGGCCCCCTGGGCAGGTGCCACCTCAACCCTGGCCCTCAGCCTGCCCCCAACACCCCTCCCCTACTGTGGACACTGAGAAAGGATTGCCTTAGTTGGGATGAGGTAGGAGATCCTGCCTATCTGGACTGGGCTGGGCACGCAGAAAGCCAAAGCCTCTCTCTATTGCCCGTGTCCTCATCACCTGCTCTTCACCTGCTCTGCATGTCTGTCTCCTCTTCAGCTGGCCCAGAAATACGACCATCAGCGAGAGCAGGAGCTGAGAGAGTGGATTGAGGGGGTGACGGGCCGCCGCATCGGGAACAACTTTATGGATGGCCTCAAAGACGGGATCATTCTTTGCGAGTGAGTGAGGTTTTTAGGGTGCAGGCCCTGCCTCTAGCCCAGCAGTCCCTCTCCAAAGAGCCCCTCAACATCCCCGGGTGATACTGAGCCTGGAGCTGGAGTTAGACACTGATATTTGATGCCGCCCCATTCCTTGAAAGGCTGAAGACACTGACCCTGTGCCGGTTTCACAGGCAGAGATGACAAGAGTCAGTCAGGTTAAAAACACAGGTAACACGGAAGCCCTTAGGTGTTACAAGGGTATTATTCAGCTAGCCCACTCTACAGGGCAGGTCTGTCTATGGATTCCAGCATCAGAGCTAAATGGCAGTGGACAACAGTGGCTGTTATCACCAGTTTAAATGACATTAGGGTGGTGTCCCACTGCCCTCATCACTGGATGAAAATTGTCCCCATGGCCTGGCATACACCTGTGACCTCAGCACTGGCAAAGCTAAGGAAGGGTTAGGAATTCTAGGTCAGCCTAGGCTGCATAACAAGACCCTGTCTTCTAAAACGAGGAAGGGAGAACACCCTTCCAGCATGCAGGAGGCACTAGGTTCATCTTTTGCACAGCATAAAGCCAGGTGTGGTGGTGCAGGCCTGTAACTCTGGGCACATTAGAGGTGGAGGTAGGAGAATCAGAAATCTGATGGCACCCTGGCTCCACACTGAGTTTGGAACCATAGGCTACAGGAAAGCCTGCCTTGCAAAACAGAACAACATAACCCCTACACTAGGCCTGGGGAGATGGCTCAGTCAGGAAGGCGCTTGCTGTGTAGGTCTGAGGACTTGGGTGCTAAAACAGAAGGCAGGCTGGAGAGGTGGCTTAGGGATTGATAGCTCTTGCTCCATGATCAGAAGAACAGAGTTGGGGTCCCGACATCCACGTAGTGAGTCAAACATCCCTGCAAATACCAGCAACCCTGGCTCGGAGGGTTGGGAGGACAGGAAGAACATTGGGGTTTGATGGGTTCCAGCCCAGCTGAGAGAACGTGAGTCCCACGTTCCGGGACTCAAAAGAATGGGCAGAGAGTGATAGAGGAGGACACCCAATGTCATTTTGTGGCCTGTATACATGCACACGTGCACACACATGCACACGCGCACGCACACGCACACGCACACCACCAGCACAATGTCTACTAGCCTAATTTGGTAGCTAATTTAAACTAGTCTATTCGGTAAGCTTGTCTCAAAAAACCAACGTGGGAGCTAGAGAGACGTCTCGCTGGGCACAGGCGCTGCTGTGCAGGGCTGGCAGTCTGCGCTCCATTGCTGATCCATGGGAAGATGGAGAGAGAGGATGGAATCAACACAGGCACCCCATCACAGTGCCTCCCCATGTCACCCAGGTGAATGTCACCTGAGGGGCCGCAGGGGAGACTGGCCTCTGGCCTCTGCACACATAAGCTACACACATGCAAACGTGCACATACAAGCACATAGCAATAGTAAACAGACTCTTGCAACTCCTAGCACCAGGTACAAGCTCTTTTTTTGTACATGTATCTGTGAGTGTGAAGTGGGCTACACATATTGTGTGTGCGCATATAGAGAGGTCAGAGGGCAAACTGTAGGAGTTTGTTCTCTCTTCTTACCCAGGATTTGGGCTGAAGTCATCTGGCTTGGCTGCAAGTGGCCTTACCCACTGAGCCATCTTGCTTGCCCTCTTCTTTGAAAAACAAAACAAAATAACCAACCCAACCTTATTTATACATGAGGGTGTTTTGGCAGCATGTATGTCTTCCCCTGGACAAGTACCCAGAGCTCTTCACTGCTGAGCTGTCTTTCTAGTTCCCTCTTTTTTTTTTTTTTTTTTAGACAAGGTTTCATGTAGCAGAGGCTGGCCTTGAACTCCTCATCCCCTGCCTCCACCATCTGAGTGCTGGGATAATAGGCTAGCATGATCACACCTAGACATCCCATTTCCCCCTAACACTGGGCAAGGTCTTGAACCCAGCCGGGGCTTGTCTGCTTCTGAGTCTGACACTGTGAGTTACCACTCCCCCTTGGAAAGCTTCTCAGAGGTGCAGTACAGCTCAGCTTCACCGAGGCCTGATGCTCAGAGGTGGGGCTATTTATCTTCTTTCTTTCCTATCTACGAGAAACAAGAGTCTGGGACATGCTGGTGTCCTGGCTTACAGAGAGCTGGCTCAGGCCTGGATACAGAGCTAGGGCTGAGGTTCTACAGTAGAGGACACACACCTAAGCAAGGGTGCCTGAGTGCCATCCCAGCTAATGGACCAGCCAGCCATTTCCTTAGTCATTCATGTAATACGCATTTATAGAACTCCTGGTATACACAGGCCTTTGCTCTAGGCACTCGGAAAGTGACCAGACTCCGTGTAGAGCCTGAGGGAGCATTGGTACTAGTGGGAGAAATCGTGCTGTTTCCATACTCAGCAGTATTATCACCATGAAAAGAAATGGTTACCAACCAACCAACCAACCAGATACTCACACTCATGCCTATAGCAAGAGAGTACAATGAAGAACACCCAGTGGGATGATGATTGGCTCAGTGGGGACAGACACTTGCTGCCAACACTGCTGACCTGAGTTCAATTCCCAGGACCCACATTTTGGAAAGAAAGAACAGACTCCTAAAAGTTGTCCAACGACTTTCACACACGGGTGGCTGACACAAGGATTTCCTGGATGGCAACTGGGTCTAGCTGCCCACAGTTGCGTCTACCATAAGCATGTGCTAGGTACAAAAGGGTCCCCTTCCAGCTGTCAGCTCTTCCACCCAGCCAGGATCCTGAAGCAACTGGGACTCACCTGCCCCACTCCCCGCTTCTCTTTGTCAGATTTATCAACAAGCTCCAACCGGGTTCTGTGAAGAAGGTCAATGAGTCAACCCAGAACTGGCACCAGGTAAGTTCAGACACAACGTACTCGTTTGTTTTCTGTTTTAGTATTGCAGATTGAACCCGGAGCTTTGAATACGTGCTAGACTGGAGCTCCATTGCCTAGCCATGCCTCAGCCCCTCACTGGGGGACTCCAGGCAGGAGCTCTACCACTGAGCCACACCCCCACACCCTCACTGGGGGATTCCAGGCAGGGGCCCTACCTTAGATCCACACTCAACCTCAGATTTCCATTGCTGGTTTTGACAAAGCCTCCCCTCACTGTCAGAGGACTACTCTGGTCTTGGTCCTCTCCTACTTGTTTGAGAAAAGGTCTCCATCTCTTCATTGTTTTCCTCTGGGACCAGGCTGGCAGTCTCTCAAAGTGAGGATTCTGTCCCTGCTTCCGGTCTCACCTATAGGAGTCCTAGGATTTCAGACATTCATGCCATGTATGTGGCTTTTACTTGATTTCTGGAGATTCAAACTCTGATCCTGACAGAGTTTGCTTGTTTTGTTTGCTTGTATTTCTTACAAAATCACCTTCCTGGCTCTTTATTTTGAGACAATGTATCATTAAGATGCCCAGGCAGCCGTTGAATTTGCAATCCTGCCTCAGCTTCCTCAGGGGGATTCCTTCTGGTGTTTATTTGTGTGTGTGTGTGTGTGTGTGTGTGTGTGTGTGTGTGTTATGTACACTTGTGTGTGGACAAGTGCCCACAGAGGCCCAGAAGAGGCATGGAATCCCTTGGAGCTGGAGTTACAGGAGTTTCATTCAGTCCTTTATCCCCTAGCCCCTCAGCCCTCCACACCACCCTCCCATCTCTGACATGGTCTCTTCTCCTACAGCTGGAGAACATAGGTAATTTCATCAAAGCCATTACCAAGTATGGGGTGAAACCTCATGACATCTTTGAGGCCAACGACCTGTTTGAGAACACCAACCACACACAAGTTCAGTCCACTCTCCTGGCTCTAGCCAGCATGGTGAGTGTGGGGGCAGAGGCCGGGGCTGGGCTGAGGCCTGACATAAATAGGGACACTCAGGCCCCTGAGCCTCGCAAAGGGTACAGGGTCACTGAGGGGAAGTGAGGCCTGCTGGAGCCTCATGTCCTCCTTTCCTCCATGCAGGCCAAGACAAAAGGAAACAAAGTCAATGTGGGGGTCAAATATGCAGAGAAACAAGAGCGGAGATTTGAACCTGAGAAGCTGAGAGAAGGCAGGAACATCATTGGACTACAGGTATGGCCCCTTCTTCACATGGGCTGCTCTGGGCTGCAGGGAAGGTAGCCCAGAGCCTGGAGGCTTTAAGGGGTCAGAATATTAGTATAATGGGTGGGACACTGGACGGCGTTAGTGGTTTCTATTTACTAATATGGTCCCTCTGCCCATAGTCCTAAGTAGTTCCTGATTTTGCAGACCCTTAAGATATTTAATTTATCTTTACATGAATGAGTGTTTTGCCTGCATGTATACCTATGAATCACATGTGTCCTAGTACACACCTAGGCCAGAAGAGGGCATCAGATCCCCTGGAACTGGAATTATAGACCACTGTTAGCAGCCATGTGGGTGCTGGAAAACAAACCCAGGTCTCTGGAAGAGCAGCTAGTGCTCTGAAACACAGCCATCTCTCCAGCCTCTAGATCCTTTTTTCACACTTTTTTTTTTTTTTTGCTTTTTCGAGACAGGGTTTCTCTGTGTAGTCCTGGCTGTCCTGGAACAAACATTTTTTTTTCTAATTATTTTTGTATTTGCCTGTATGCATGTATGTATGTGCACCATGGTGTGTGTAGTACCCACAGAGATAACAAGAGGATGTTGTGTCCCCTAGGAGTAACTACTTACCTGTAATTACGGATTGCTGTGGGTGCTGGGAGTGGAACCTGGATCCTTTGGAAGAGCAGTCAGTGTTCTTAACCACTGAGCATCTCTCTGTGTATATATATATACAGATAGAGAAACTAGGGTTTGCAGAAGGAAGCACACTATTCTTCGTCAGTGTTGGGGACTGAGTCTAGGCAAGCACACTGCCCTGGTTACGTCTCCACGCCCATTCGCTTTTCCTGTGTGTGAATGTGTCTGTGCATGTGTGTACATCAAGGTCAGAGGTCTCAGCCACTGTCATTCCTCAGAAGACATCCACTTTGCTTTGTTTTTGTTTGTTTTGTTTTGAAATAGGGATTCTCTTTGTAGCCCTGGCTATCCTGGAACTTTCTATGTAGACCAGGCTGGCCTCCATCTGCCTCTGCTTCCAAGAGCTGGGATCAAAGGTGTGCACCTCCACATCTGGGCATCTTGCTTTTTGAGACAGAGTCTCTCACTGGGTTTTCTAGTTTGTATTCTGATGTAATAGAACACCAACCGAAGCAACTGGCAGGGGGAGGGGTTTATTTGGCTTGAATTTCCACATCATAGCTCACACTGGGGAGAAGTCAGCAAAGGAGCCTGGAGGCAGGAACTGATGCGGAGACCACGGACAAACATTACTGACTGGCTTGCTCTCTGTGGCATGCTCAATTTTCTTATCTATCTCAGGACCACCTACCTAGGGATAGCCCACTGACTTGTGGGCTGGGTCCTAGGCAAGCACTTGAGGCAGGGTCTCCTATAACCCAGGTTAGCCCTGAATTCACTATTCAAAGCTAGCCTTGAGCTTCTCCTCTGATCCTCCTGCCTCTACCTCCTTAGTACAATTTTTTATCCCGACACAAGGTCTCTCGCTAAGTTGCTCAGGCTGACGGCCAGTTTGCTGGAGGCAAGGCAGGCCTTTACCTGCCATCCCCTCCTTTGGCCTCCCCATCGAGCAGCTAGGACTGTGGACCTGTGCTGGCAGCCCCGGCTTGATCTACCTCTCTTTCTCTTTTCATTTATTTTATTGTTTGAGACAAGTTCTCACTGTGTGGCCCTGGCTGGCCTGGAACTCACCATGTAGACTAGGCTGGCTTCAAACTCACCGAGATCCACCTGCCTCTGCCTTCTCCGGTTCTCTCCTTTCACTATGTGGGTCCCATGGGTCAAACTCAGGTCATTAGGATTGGAGGCAAGACCCTTTACCCACTGAGCCATCTGTCCCTCAGGGCCTGAGCTTAAACTTCTCATCCTCTTGGGATTCCAGTTGACAGGATGTAGGCCACACGTTGAACCTAAAAGCCTGTTCATATACTATCCCCACTCTTTTTCTGGCCTCCTGCTTTTGTGTCTCACGGGGACACCCTGTAATCCTTATTGATTAATTAATCTCTTTCCTAGATGGGCACCAACAAGTTTGCCAGTCAGCAGGGCATGACGGCCTATGGTACCCGGCGTCACCTCTATGATCCCAAACTGGGCACAGATCAGCCCCTGGACCAGGCGACCATCAGCCTGCAGATGGGCACCAACAAGGGCGCCAGCCAGGTTTGTGTAGTCGGCGGGACACCCGGTGAAATGCGGTGGGGGAGTGGGGCTGCTACCCCTGTGGCTTGACCACTGTTCCATCCTTTAGGCTGGCATGACTGCACCAGGGACCAAGCGGCAGATCTTTGAGCCAGCTCTGGGCATGGAACACTGTGACACACTCAACGTCAGCTTGCAGATGGGCAGCAACAAGGGGGCCTCACAGAGGGGCATGACAGTATATGGGCTGCCTCGCCAGGTGTACGATCCCAAGTACTGCCTGAACCCAGAATACCCAGAGCTGGGTGAGCCCACCCACAATCACCACCCGCACAACTACTACAACTCTGCCTAGGCCCCCTCCCCAAGGGCTGGCTGCTGCTCTTGGCTGGACCCAGCTGGCCCAGCCAACCCCATCTCCTGCATGGCGTCCCCCCAGCCCCCTGGCACCTGCCTATAGGGTTACAGTTTGGGGAGATCAGGGCGAGGGGGACAATGGGAAGAAGGGGGCCCCTCATCCCTGGAGCTTTTGCAGGGCCCAACATAGAATTGGGTGTCCCCATTAGCGCCCAAAGGAAGCACTGAGTAAAGCTATTCCAGCTGCCCCCCCTTTACTCCCTCACAAGTGAGTACCTCCCAGAACCAGAAACCCTTCAAGCAAAGCCCCCAGAACCCAGGCTTGGCCTGACCCCTGCCCCATTCCCGCAACGGGAGCAGAATGCATGCCTGGAAACGCAGTGGACACACGCAGTTTGGTTTTGCAGTGACTGGCATTGGTGGATGTGACAGCAGCATTTGTAACTCGAACACTTTCTTTTTCTATTTCACTGGAGCACAATAAATGGCTGTGACATCATCGAAGTCTTGGGGCCAGTTGTTTAGGATTGTGGCTTAGATAATCCTCATCCTCCTACATATATAAAAGGTATACAGACCCACCTATATACACTAGGGCCAGTGAGATGGCTCAGAGCTGGTAAAGGCACTTGACACCACGTTTATGACCTGAGTTCAATCCTTGAGACCCACATGGTCGAAAAGAATCAGTTTCTACAATAGCCTCTGACCTCCACACAGGCCATGTGATACATACCCTTCCTTAAATAAATATGTATTTAAAAATTAAATAGATACACCTACAGACCTCACACCACTACACAGGGTAAGCACATTGCAAATGCCACATACATTTAAACAAAACATGATCAGGAGTGTCCTGGGAAGGGTCCCAGATTGTGTGCAAATGGTGTGCACTGGTACTACTGGGCCAGATAATGTACCTAATGTTGGCAGAGCTGTTGAGTAATTAACCTTGGGGCACAGCTTTCTCTGTATGCCTCCTTGTACCCAGAAGTGTCTCTCTTTTTTTCTCCTCAAAACTGAACCTCATGGACTGGTGAGATGTCACAACTGTAAAGGCATGTTACACGCAACAAAGGTGTTTGCTGCTAAGTCTGACAACTTTGAGTTCGAACCATAGGTCCTACTCGATGAAGGACCAACTCCATTTTTTTTTGTCTTTTTGAGACAGGATTTGTGTGTGTGTATGTGTGTGTGTGTGTTGGGTGGGGGGTAGTCCTGGTTGTCCTAGAACTTGCTCTTTTGACCAGGCTGGGTTTGAACTTACGAAGAACTGCCCACCTCTGTCTCCTAAGTGCTGGGACCACCACCATCCAGCAATAAATGTCTTTTGAAAACAAAACAAAACAAAACAAAACAAACAAACAAACCCAAAAACTGAGTCCCAGGGCTGGCCTAGGATCCTGAAAGTGTAGACAGGTCTTTGACATCACCTTGCTTCAGCAAAGACCCTGTTCTCTTGAAGAAGGCTCTAGATGTTCTGCCTGAACACTACCTGTCTGCTGGTCAGGGCTTCAGAGAATGCAGAATGATAGGAGAGAACCCAGTCTCTTCCCACTCCATCACTTCCAGGACAGAGGTTGAGGCTGTAACCCTGGGGGAATATCGGAAATTTTGCATACAGACACACAGACCCTGGCCTCACAAACTGGACTCCAGGCATCTTGGCCCCCTTTGTTCTGGGGAAGCTGTGCTGAGGGCATGAGCCTAGCCCAGCCTTGGCCTGTCAGTCAGATAAGGTGGCAGTGGCACCTGTCAGATAAGCGGGCTCTGATGTCAGCTCTGGGTGTCCCATCTGCTGAGGACACCAATCTAGGAACCTACCTACCATTGTTGCCTGGGGACTATGGCTCTGGCCAAGCCTAAAGGACCTCAGTGCACCAAGAGGCATATCACTGAAGGCTGGGTGACTCAGGAGTTATGAGCTAGCAGCCCAGCCTAGCAGCTATCATTTCTGGGTCAGTCAAATACCTGCTTTGGCTGTTTACCTGCCCTGGGGTGGCCACAGAACCACCTGATACCAGGATCTGCCACCGGCTCATTCGGCAGGACTCCCGCGGTTTCCGTGTGTGGTATACACAATGACGTGTGTAAGCGTGTACACGCATGAGCATGAGGGCAGAGGCTGATGTCACGCCATCCTTGGTTACCCTGTATTTTATTTTTGGAGACAGGGTCTTCTTCTCTGACCCCAGAGTTCACGGATGTGGTGAGGCTGGCAGGCCATCAGACCCCAATGATCTGATCTGTCTGTCTGTCCTGCCCCAGTGCTGAGGTACAGAGACAGCTTTTACATGGATGCTAGGGGCTTGATCTCAGGTGAAGTACTTTACTGGCAGCCACCTCCTGAGCTCTCCACAGGAGCTATACCATGAGCGCTCTAAACCACAGGTCAGGGGCTGAGTCCAGGTCACTTGGTTCAAGTCTCCCATCACCCTGAGACCCTGTGAGGGGACATGGGGCTCTCACATACTTACCATAAGAGTGTACATCCTGGCACAGCCTCCAGCCTTCCAAGAGCCCTCACCACCCTTAGAAAATGTCCCTTCTGTGACCATTACTTTCCCAGTGGCCCAAAGTACCTGGGACTTGAGACCTCAGCCCAGGATCTGGACTTAGGAATTAGAATGGTGGGTTGTGCAGCCAAGCTTCCTGAATTCAAGGTCCTCCTGTGCATTTAAGGATGCAGGAAATTGGGCATCGCCTCCCCTCTCTAACCTAGGCCCCTGCTTCACCTTCACAGGGTGACTGGCAGCACACAGGAAGATATCCAATGTGGGTGCCAACTTTTGAGTGTCACCTCCTTTGGTCACCTGTGCATGTACAAGTGTGCCAGAGGTCGACCTCAGCTGGTGGTCCTCAGCTGCTATCCACGTTTTCTATTTTTAGAAAAGTTTTATTTTGGGCTGGAAAGATGGCTCAGTGGTTACGAGCACTAACTGCTCTTGTAGAGGACCCGAGCTCAGTTCCCACGTCAAACAGCTCATGACTGTCTGAAACTACAACTCCACGGGACCCAACATCCTTCTCTGATCTTCAGGGACGCATTCATGAGTCACAACCACCTGCAACTTCAGTTTGAGGAGATTCAATACTTCTGGACTCCTCAGTGGTATATGCGTGTGGTACAGACACCAGGAAAACGTCATTACACATAAAAGCCTTTCTAAAATGTGCACACAATTTTAGTCTTTCTTTAGTGTATGGGTGCCACACAGCATGTGTGCTCAGACCCCTGGAGGTTGGTTCTCTCCTCCCACCACCAAGCGAGGCTTGAGGTCAGAGCTTAGACTGTCAGGTTGACACAGCAAACACTTGCCACTTAGGACCTTTCGTTGGCCTGGTTTTTGCGATTTTAAAACAAGTTTGTTATTATTTAGTGTGTATGTGTGATGAGTGTGGTACAGGGGTTTTGTGTGCTATAGCGCATATGTGGAGGTCAGAGAACTTTCAGGAGTCCACTCTTTCTTCCCAACATGAGGGTCCTGGGGACTGAATTCAGGGCATCAGGCTGAGACATCTGACTTTTTTGTTTTTTTGAGACCAGGTCTCACTATGCAGCTTTGGCTGGCCCAGACCTTGCTATGTAGACCACACTTGCCTCAAACTCAGAGCCTCCTATCTGTCTCCTCCTGAGTGCTGAAAACTGGCCTGGTGGTTAAGAGCACTTGCTGTTCTCCCAGAGGACCGGAGTTCAGTTCTTAGCACCCATGTCAGGTCATCCAGAATGCTCTGGGCTTCTCAGCTCCAGGAGATCCAACGCCTTTAATCTCTTCAGGCACCTCCGCTCACACACGCAAGTGCATACACATACATGTAATGAGAATAAAAGCCCAATCTTTCAGTGTGTGCTACCATGCCCAGCACAATCATGCTCTTTTGAGACAGGGTCTCTCAATGGCCCAGAACTAGCCAACTAGACAAGGCTGTCTGGTCGGGAGCCCCGGGGATCTACTGTTATCTGCCTTGTCAGCACTGGGGTTACACGTGCCCTCAGCCATACCCAGTGTTTTCATGTGGTCTCTGGGGATCACCTGTGGCCTTCGTGTCGGTGGAGCGAAAGCTTTACTGACTCAACTGTCTCTCTAGTCTATGGTTTTTACTGCTGCTGTATATACAAATCCAGATGCCCGTCTGGTTCACTGATGTCCTCAACACCCAGAATCATCCAATTGTGTAGTGTTTGAAGTGGTGTTATAGCTCTAATTCTGCCACTTAGAAGGCTGGGACAGAAGGAGGAACTTGAGACTATTCTGGGCTGCACAGTGAGATCTTGTCTCAAACACTACCACTGGTTGGGTGTGGTGGTTCACACCTTTCATCTCAACAGCTGGGCAGAGGCAAGCTGATCTCTGAGCATGATGCCAACCTGGTCCACAGTAAGATCCTGTATCACCTCACCTCTCTCCCCCAAACCAAACCAAACCAAACCAAACCAAACCAAACCAACCAACCAGGAAAAACTGACCAAACCATACATCATAGAGCCACCAGGATTTCTCTTGAATGCCTCATCCCTGAGTCTTCCACTCCCCTTCTGACACTGGGGCTACCTCATGACCCAAGAAAGTACAGGGAGGCGGGGATACACACTGGCTGCTTTATTGACAGGATCATGAGTGACAGCTGTACCCCAACTAGCCCCTACCTTTTCTACAACGGCAGAAGAAGAAAATGGTGCCCCCCCCAGCAAAGCCCAGCCAAGGGACCTGGGTGGTCAGTAGCCTCGACTCCCAGACCACAAGCACAAGGAGGCTGGGAAGGACAGAAAATCCAGGTCCCCAAGGGCAAGGTGCTGGTGAGGTGTCTGAGGAGACTGGAGGTCCCACAGCTATTCCTTGCCTGGGATGTCAGGAACCGTCACCAGAGAAGACAGGAACCTGAAGCTTGGGGCAGGGTGGGAACAACTCCAAGGCTTTCAGTCATCTGAGGCGTAGGGTTCTGTGAGGCCACCCTGGGCTGCTTGGTGAGCAGCATCGCTCACCTCGGTCCCTGCAGTCACATCTGCAGCCGTGTACACCTACTCATTCATACCCACTCCATACACACAGAGGGAGGGCTGTCAGCCCTGGACCTACACCCTGGAGCCCTGGAATGTCTCTGGATGGGTAGCCAGATCGGGGGCTGTGGAGGAGCAGGTCCTTGACATTGCTACTGATTGGCTGCCTCACAGGCGTCTATCCAGTCGCTGTACACATCCACTGGCTCTGACAGGTACGTGATGGGTGTCTGGAACTCTTCTAGGCACACGGTGCAGGAGATGACTCCAGTGTTTCGAGCACGGTCCCTGCAGTGAGACAAGGTCATGCGTGAGAAGCATGCCCTGAGCCTGTGGAGGCAACCTCGATAGCAGGAAGGCCCAGGGTGAGCAAGGAGGGGACAGAGGCCTGGATGCCCACCCTGCACCCCACTCACATCTTCACATCACAGGACTTCTCGTGGTTACAGAAAGGGCAAGTGAACTGGGTCTCTAGGGTGCCTGTCATCTTCTTCTTGGGGGGCGGCTTCCGTTTGGACTTCCTTCGGCCCATAACTGCAGAGGGAATAAAACCTGTGGTACAGAAGACAGGGGTCAGAGGCTGGTAGCAGATGGCCACTCTCTATTTCCATCATCTAGAAGCAGGACAGAGGCAACCAGCAGTGGTCTGTGGAGAAGGGAAGATGTATACTCTGTCATCACCCAGGCTCCTGGGCCTAGGCACAGCAGTCCCTGTGTACACCCTGGGCAATAGGACCAAGAACAGCCTTTAACCTTGGTTTCCCAACTTCCTGTTCACCTTTAGGTAGGTCACTTACGAGCTCTGTCCTCAGGGTCTCAGGGAAAGGTAGGGGTGGACAGCCAGCTGGAGAAAAAGCAGGGACAGGGAGGGCACTGGCGTAGTGATGCATGCTGTTAAGAGATGAGGGAGGTAAGTCCCAGGAGTGAGTAAAGATGAAGTCAAGGGCAGGAAGATGGCTTAGTACCAACCATGACAACATGACAACCCTAGTTCAATTCCAGAAATGTATACAAGGCCAGGCACAGTGGCTCAAATCTGGAACCCTAGCATCCTGACTTGGAGGTGGAAGGCGCTGTCTGGGAACTCACTGACTACTAAGCCTAGCATTCTGACTTGGAGGTGGAAAGTGCTGTCTGACTGGGAACTCGCTGTCTGGGAACTCGCTGTCTGAGAACTCGCTGTCTGAGAACTCGCTGACAGACTCCCCAGATTCTGTCCTCTGACCTCAATGTGCACTATACGTAGGACGTGTGCCTCCTCTAACCAAACACAGTCTCCATTAGTGCCCTACCCCAAGCTCCTTTTGAGACAGTCTCACTGCAGTCCAGGGCTGGTCTGGAGCTCACTATGAAGGCCTGCCTCTGCTGTCCACCTGTGATGATTAAAGGGATGCACCACCACACTCAGCTATTTCTCTACTGAAACAGGGTCTCACTATGTAACTCTGATTGACCTCGAATTATCTATGTAGAACAGGCTCACCTCAAACTCGCAGAGATCTGCCAGCTTCTGCCTGGAATTAAAGGTGTACATGTGTCACACTGGGCTTTTGTATTAAAAATAAGAAAGAAAGGAAAACACCAGCATGTTACATATGCCAGAAGTTCCAGAACTCAGGAAGCTCAGGGTGGACGTTGGAAAATTCCTAACAGGTTGGAGTCTAGTCTGAGCTAGCCCACCCCACACTGTAACCCCAGCACTTCAGATCACTGAAAGCTGGAGGTCAGCTTGGACAACAAAACAAATTCAAATCTACTGTCTAAAACAAACCAAACCAAAGGAGTACACAGACATATATGCAAGCAAAGCATCTATCTATCTATCTATCTATCTATGATAAAAATAAATTTAAAAATCCATGTTAGTAAAGATTTATGGTTCTTAATATGAAAACTGGCCTTGAACTCAGAGATCCGAGTTCATCATCCACCTGCCTGACTCTCACAGGCTGGGGTTAAAGGCACTGCCACCACCATCTGGCAACAGGAGCACACTTAATTGGATGAATTCAGCTGGTAGTAGCCTAGCGTGTATAAGGGTCTAGGGCAGAGGTTCTCAACCTGTGGGTTTGGGGGGGGTCACATATCAGATATCCTGAATCCAGATATCCCAGACATAAGATAAAAATAAATAAATCTTCAAAACATCTGTATTAATAGTTACAGATGACAGCTCTTAAGGAAACTTGTAACTGGATGAATCCTATTTCTATGAGGTTATTAGAGTTAAATCAAATTTCTGAGATGGGGCTACTTTGGGTGAAGGGGCATCAGGAAGGACCTTCTCTTCTGGAGTCATTTCAGATGCCTGGATGACAGAAGGCAGCTTTGATGCCAAGACAGACAGGAAGAGGGGTATATCTGAAAAGTGTTTGAGCCAGATGAAGGGTTTTCTCACCGTTTTACTTCAGAACAAACCGCTGAGGCTCTGGGAGCAACAGGGATAAAGTGTGAAACGCACAAAAAGGCCAGACCCTGAAGGTGAAGCTTAGCCTGGTCCCCAGCCCAGCTGTCAACTGTGTAAGCAGATGTGTTTGCGTCCCCTCCCATTTGCACCTGGCAACCAGCTACAACGGCATCACAGACTAGACATCTCTGTCGAGTCTGTCTCAGCTGCTACGGGCATTGCTGCTAAGCCTGAAAGGCTGAGTTTGGTCCCCGGACCCACGTAAAGGTGGAAAGAGAGGATGTATTCCGCAAGTTGTCCATTAACTTCTGTACACATTCTACACACATAGAAAAAAAATGTAGGACAAAAGATTTCTAAAACTTTCAAAACAGGGCAAGGAAGATGGCTCAGCAGGTGAGGATGCTGGCTGCAAAGCCTGACAGCCTGACTTCATTTCCCTGGGCTCTCACGGTGAAGAGAGAAGCGACTCCTGTAAGCTGTCCTCTGGTCACACACACAGCATTCAAAATAAACTCACGATCACCTTAAAACTCCTCCGCAAACTGCAACCCTGCCCATCAATCTCTGAGGAAGGATTTCACTTGGTCACTGCTCAATCCCTAGCACCCACAGTGCCTGGTAAACCTTATGCACTTAGTAACTACTTGTTGAGTTTCCCTGAATCTGTCTCAGTGTGGCCCCAGAATCCCACTGGCAAACCGCAGCCTGCGAACGAGCCATGGTGTCCCCAGGCGACTGGGACAGCGGGAAGGGGTCTCGGCGGAGAAGCGACGCCGTCCGCCTCACCCAGGCTTCGGTGGCGCCGCCCGCTAGCCCAACTGCAGGGGTCCAGGGGTCAGGCTCCCCACGCGGCCGTCCTCAGAGCCACGCCCCGGCCTCGGCTCCACACCCTGCGGTGATCTAGAGAAGAGCGCCTGTCCCGCCTAGCCCAACGCCCGCCCGCGAGACCCTACACTTACTTTGTACCAGTCCTGCTTCTCAGTCAAGGCCGCTTCACCCAGGAGACGCTAACTTCCGGCCCCTAGCGGAAGCGGAAATATCGCTTTGGGTTTCCCGCCCACTCCTTAACCAAGTAAAAGGGCGTGTAGACCCCGCCTCCAACTGCCTGGCTCCACGTAATTGTTACAGCGCATGCGCCACCGTCCCGCTCTTTCCCGAGTAAATTTCTAGGGGTGTCCGTGAGCGGTGACTCCATCTGTACTCTTCCTGGTAAAGGTCCTCACCTGTAATCATCTTCCTGGATTCGTCTCACTTGTCTTACCCCTTTGAAGCCCTAGATTTTCCTAACCTCCATGCTCACTCCAATATCCTAGCCCTAGACGAGACTAGTTAGAAAGAGACAGGAGACCCGGTAAGGGGGTTAATATGGTCAAAATACATTGTACTAGTCAGGGTTCTCTAGAGTCACAGAACTTACGGACTGTCTCGCTGTATTGAGGGAATTTATTGTGATGAGTTACAGTCTGTAGTCCAGCTCCCCAACAATGGTCAGCTGTGAATGGCAAGTCCAAGAATCTAGTAGTTGGTTGCTCAGTCCCACGAAGCTAGTTGGTTCATCTGGTCTGTGATAGAAGCAGGCTCCAACAGACGTGCTGGCAAGTAAAGGCAAGCAGGTGAAGAAGAGTGCCCTTATATAGGCCCCCAGCAGAAGGTGTGGCCCAGATTAAAGGTATGTACCAGCCATGCCTGGATCTGGGACTTGCTTTGTCCCAGGCTGATCTTGAACTCAGAGGTCTCCTTGCCTTAGTCTCCTGGGATTAAAGGCATGTACTACCTTGCCTGAGCCTAAGCTTTTCATGGCCACTGTGCCTCAAGATCTCCATGCCAAGATCCAGGTCAGAAACTTGTGTCTTCCAGCCTCAAGATCTGGATCACAGGTGAGCCCTCCAATTCTGGATTGTAGTTCATTCCAGATGTAGTCAAGTTGACAACCAGAGTAGCCATCACATACATCATATACATACATGAAGAAAACCTGTTATGTATGACTAATATATGCTAATGTAAAACACAAAACACTCCAAGGTGAGAAGACAGGTTTTTAAAGCAGATCTTTCCCCTCTCTCCCTTCCTTTCTCCCTCTTGTTCTGGCCCAAAGTACACTGTAGCTGTCTTCAGACACCCATATGAGGGCACCAGATCTCATTACAGATGGTTGTGAGCCACCATGTGGTTGCTGGGACTTGAAGTCATGACCTCCTGAAGAGCAGTCGGTGCTCTCAACCGCTGAGCCATCTCAACAGTCCTTTTGAGGCAGGAAGACATGTGCTTTTGATCCAGATCTTAAGGCTGGAAAGACATAAACCTTCAATTCGGAGCCTACTTCTTAGGAATTCCAGCGTATACTGAAGACAGCTGAGACATCCAGCCTTGTGAACCGAACACCTTAGAGTTTTTGTTTGCAGCTAGCTAGCTGGATTAGTTGGACTGTAGCCTGTAAGTCATTCCAATAAATCACACACACACACACATGTACACATGCACATGCACACACATGTACACACACACACACAGAGACAGAGAGAGTCATTCCATAAGCTCTGTAACTCTCGCAAACCCCGAGTAATGCAGCTACAAGTTGAGTTTGAGGCCATCATGGGTTACAAAGACACTCCCCCACACACACCTTTAAAACCACCCTAGTTGGTGGATGAAAAGTAGGAGAGAGTGCAGATGGGGCAGGAGAGATGGAAGGACAGTTTTAAAGCCACAGCAGGAGCTGGCTAGATTTTGGCCCGATGTGGAACTGTGTTAATGGGAACAGGAAGAACTTTATACATCTAGAAATTGAGGTATAAAGCTGTGGTGGTTTGACGATGCTTGGCCCAGGGAGTGGCACTATCAGGAGGTGTGGCCTTGTTGGAGTAGGTGTGCCACTGGGGGCATGGGCTTAAGACCCTCATCCTAGTTACCTGGAAGCCAGTCTTCTCCTAGTTCAGATGAAGATGTATAACTCTCAGCTCCTCCTGCACCATGCCTGCCTGGATGCTGCCATGCTCCCACCTTCTTGATAATGGATTGAATCTCTGAACCTGTAAGCCAGCCTCAATTAAATTTTGTCCTTATAAGACTTGCCTTGGTCATGGTGTCTGAGATGGAGAAGGGAGACACAAATCCCCATTAACTCCATGGACTGAAGTGCACAGGAAGAATGCATTCCACGACGTCTGTGTAGCAGGAAGAGGCATGCGGGGCTCCGAACATTTGATGCTGGTAGAGCAGCAACCAGGCCATCAGGAAGGAGCTTGGGGCTCACAGACTGACGCTCAAGTTGAAGTAGAGGTTGAAGGGTTGACTAGGCAGAGGTGACAGAGTGGAGGAGAGGGGGGTGATCTTCGGCAGAGCTCCTGAGTGCTGCCTCTCTGAGGAGGAAGGCAGAGGAGTCCCATAGGGAAGAAATCAAGGATTGAATCTGGGCCATAGTAAGCTTGGGATAGAGGCTGAGGAGATGGCTCAGCTGCCAGGCAAGCTTGAAGACTAGAGCTTGAACCCCAGCAGCTACATAAAAGCCAGGTAGGTGTGGTTACCCACCTGTAATCCAAGCCTGCAGGGACAGAGGATCCCCAGAGCAAGGTGGCCAGTCAGATGAGGTGAGTTCTGGGATCAAGAGAGACCCTGCCTCAATATGTAAGATGGAGAAATGTGAGGATCTTGCTTTTACACGCGGACCCTCACAGATATACCTGCTAACTTACATACTTCTTTTCTCAATTAAAGGCTTCTGGCCAGCAAGATGGCTAAAGGCACTTCCTACCAAGCTTGTCAGCCTGAGTTCAATCCCTGGAAGTTACGTGGTAGAAACAGAGAACTGATTCCTGCATGTTGTACAGTACACACACACACACACACACACACACACACACACACACACACGGAAAGTGCTTAGATCCCTGGAAGTTACATGGTGGAGAGAACGGATTCCTGCATGTTGTACACTCACACACACATGCTCGGAAAGTGCTTAGCT